AGAATCTACCGGTGAGTAGTAGTTCTGCCCAATGAAATGTCTCAGTCACGGCTCGTTGACTATATCATAGAAAAGGAAGTTATTTCACGCTATAGGGCGTGAGTTATGTCTTTTTTTTTTTTTACACTACTGCACGCCAGTTGTGGTTTTTTTACACAACTGCACGCCAGTTATGGTTGTTTTACACAACTGCACGCCAGTTGTGGTTGTTTTACACAACTGCACGCCAGTTGTGGTTGTTTTACACAACTGCACGCCAGTTATGGTTGTTTTACACAACTGCACGCCAGTTATGGTTGTTTTACACAACTGCACGCCAGTTATGGTTGTTTTACACAACTGCACGCCAGTTATGGTTGTTTTACACAACTGCACGCCAGTTATGGTTGTTTTACACAACTGCACGCCAGTTATGGTTGTTTTACACAACTGCACGCCAGTTATGGTTGTTTTACGCTAGAACATGTACCTACTGCTGCGTATAACCTATAGCACGTGAGTAATTATTCTTTTACACATAAAATGGTGCGTTTTTGTTTCAACAAAATAGCATATAAATAACAAATAATGGTTCTAGAACACAATAAAGGGCGAAAAAGTAATAATTTGATTGCACTATAGAATGTGGGTGATCTGTCCCCAAACATTACGTTTTTTTTTCCAGCAAGATAGTATGTGAGTAGTTGTAGTTTGAACAAGAAGATGGTTAGGGAAATGAAAACAATGAACGGATGGTCCGTGTAATTTGTTGACAGTGGAGATGAGGTGTTCAGTGACAATTTATGCTACAAGATATTTGGTCTCAACCCTCTTGTGTGTCGCTGTCGATATACAGCAACGTGTGTGTGTCAGTTCTCTCGTATGAAGCTGTAGAAATACAGCAACGTGTGTGTCAGTTCTCTTGTATGAAGCTGTAGAGATACAGCAACGTGTGTGTCAGTTCTCTTGTATGAAGCTGTCGATATACAGCAACGTGTGTGTCAGTTCTCTCGTATGAAGCTGTAGAAATACAGCAACGTGTGTGTCAGTTCTCTCGTATGAAGCTGTAGAAATACAGCAACGTGTGTGTCAGTTCTCTTGTATGAAGCTGTAGAGATACAGCAACGTGTGTGTCAGTTCTCTTGTATGAAGCTGTCGATATACAGCAACGTGTGTGTCAGTTCTCTCGTATGAAGCTGTAGAAATACAGCAACGTGTGTGTGTCAGTTCTCTTGTGTGTCGCTGTCGATATACAGCAACGTGTGTGTCAGTTCTCTCGTATGAAGCTGTAGAAATACAGCAACGTGTGTGCGTCAGTTCTCTCGTATGAAGCTGTAGAGATACAGCAACGTGTGTGTCAGTTCTCTTGTATGAAGCTGTAGAGATACAGCAACGTGTGTGTCAGTTCTCTTGTATGAAGCTGTAGAGACACAGCAACGTGTGTCAATTCTCTTCTATGAAGCTGTAGAAATACAGCAACGTGTGTGTCAGTTCTCTTGTATAAAGCTGTCAAGATACAGCAACGTGTATGTCAGTTCTCTTGTATGAAGCTGTAGAGATACAGCAACGTGTGTGTCAGTTCTCTTGTATAAAGCTGTCGAGATACAGCAACGTGTGTGTCAGTTCTCTTGTATGAAGCTGTAGAGATACAGCAACGTGTGTGTCAGTTCTCTCGTATGAAGCTGTAGAAATACAGCAACGTGTATGTCAGTTCTCTCGTATGAAGCTGTAGAAATACAGCAACGTGTGTGTGTCAGTTCTCTTGTGTGTCGCTGTCGATATACAGCAACGTTTGTGTCAGTTCTCTCGTATGAAGCTGTCGAGATACAGCAATGTGTGTGTCAGTTCTCTTGTATGAAGCTGTAGAGATACAGCAACGTGTGTGTCAGTTCTCTTGTGAAAAGCTGTCGAGATACAGCAACGTGTGTGTCAGTTCTCTTGTATGAAGCTGTAGAGATACAGCAACGTGTGTGTCAGTTTTCTTGTAAAAAGCTGTCGAGATACAGCAATGTGTGTGTCAGTTCTCTTGTATGAAGCTGTAGAGATACAGCAACGTTTGTGTCAGTTCTCTTGTATGAAGCTGTAGAGATACAGCAACGTGTGTGTCAGTTCTCTTGTATAAAGCTGTCGAGATACAGCAATGTGTGTGTCAGTTCTCTTGTATGAAGCTGTAGAGATACAGCGAAATGTGGTTGTCTTCTCTCTTGTATGAAGCTGACAAGATAGAGCCACGTTGAGTGTCAACGCTGTTGTTTGAAGCTGTCGAGGACAGCGAGGTGTGGATATCAACTCTTGTGTATGAATCTGAAGAGATACAGCGAGATGTCAACTCTCTTGTATGAAGCTGTCGAGGACAGCAAAGTGTGGGTGTCAACTCTCTTGTATGAAGCTGTCGAGGACAGCAAAGTGTGTGTGTCAACTCTCTTGTATGAAGCTGTCGAGGACAGCAAAGTGTGGGTGTCAGCTCTCTTGTATGAAGCTGTCGAGGACAGCAAAGTGTGGGTGTCAACTCTCTTGTAAAAAGCTGTCGAGGACAGCAAAGTGTGGGTATCAACACTCTTGCATGAAGCTGACGAGACACAACTAGTTGTAACCGCTAGTTCGTTTACAGACAGCTGTGACTCTAAAGTAGACTCATGCTGGGGTAGTTCTAAGATAACTAGTCTAAAGTACACACCTTATGGGATTATTCCAAAATAGTTAATATAAGGTACAGTTATAAGTGTGAGATATACATTTTATAATATATTCACATTAAGGTACTAAGAAAGGTACTCAAAAGTATTTACTCTGTGTGAAATTCTTAAGATTCATACTCTGAAGTACACACTCTAGGATAGTTCTAAGGCTGCTAATCTAAAGTTCACACAATCTATTATAGTTGTGAGGCTTTTACTCTAAAGTTCACACACTCTAGGATACAGTAAGAAGGTGACTCTAAAGTACCCACACTCTGGCATAATTTATTTTTTATTTAAAGTATAAAACACCTATCACTAGAAAGAGCATTATAAAATAATGGATCTAACATTGACAATTTGAAGAAAAAAAAAGAATATTCTTTTCTTGATATCCTCAACCCTTTACAAAGATATTTAATACAAAGAAAACTTGCAATGGCATAGTTGTGAGATAGTCATTCTAAAAGTCATATCTGCTAAAAGAGTTATAAAATAGTTACTCTGAAAAAAGAATCCGTTGGAAAAATTGTAAGATAGTAACTCTATTTAAACACATTCGCTGGAATAGTTGTAAGATGGTTACTCTAAAAAACACATTCGCTGGAATAGTTGTAAGATGGTTACTCTAAAAAACACATTCGCTGGAATAGTTGTAAGATGGTTACTCTAAAAAACACATTCGCTGGAATAGTTGTAAGATGGTTACTCTAAAAAACACATTCGCTGGAATAGTTGAAAGATGGTTACTCTAAAAAACACATTCGCTGGAATAGTTGTAAGATGGTTACTCTAAAAAACACATTCGCTGGAATAGTTGTAAGATGGTTACTCTAAAAAACACATTCGCTGGAATAGTTGTAAGATGGTTACTCTAAAAAACACAAGCGCTGGGCTTGTTCTAAGTTCACATAAAAAAGGATTTTTCTAAGATAATTACTCTGAAGTACACATAACTAGGAATTTTCTAAGATAATTACTCTGAAGTACACATAACTAGGATAGTTCTAAGATAATTATTCCAAAGTACAAATTAGTAGAATAGTTCTAAGATAATTACTCTGAAGTACACATAACTAGGAATTTTCTAAGATAATTACTCTGAAGTACACATAACTAGGATAGTTCTAAGATAATTATTCCAAAGTACAAATTAGTAGAATAGTTCTAAGATAATTACTCTGAAGTACACATAACTAGGAATTTTCTAAGATAATTACTCTGAAGTACACATAACTAGGATAGTTCTAAGATAATTATTCCAAAGTACAAATTAGTAGAATAGTTCTAAGATAATTACTCTGAAGTACACATAACTAGGAATTTTCTAAGATAATTACTCTGAAGTACACATAACTAGGATAGTTCTAAGATAATTATTCCAAAGTACAAATTAGTAGAATAGTTCTAAGATAATTACTCTGAAGTACACATAACTATGAATTTTCTAAGATAATTACTCTGAAGTACACATAAAACTAGGATAGTTCTAAGATAATTATTCCAAAGTACAAATTAGTAGAATAGTTCTAAGATAATTACTCTGAAGTACACATAACTAGGAATTTTCTAAGATAATTACTCTGAAGTACACATAACTAGGATAGTTCTAAGATAATTATTCCAAAGTACAAATTAGTAGAATAGTTCTAAGATAATTACTCTAAAGTACACATAACTAGGAATTTTCTAAGATAATTACTCTAAAGTACACATAACTAGGATAGTTCTAAGATAATTATTCCAAAGTACAAATTAGTAGAATAGTTCTAAGATAATTACTCTAAAGTACACATAACTAGGATAGTTCTAAGATAATTATTCCAAAGTACAAATTAGTAGAATAGTTCTAAGATAATTACTCTAAAGTACACAAAACTAGGATATTTCTAAGATAATTACTCTAAAGTACACATAACTAAACTATTTCTACGATAATTACTCTAAAGTACACATAACTAAGATATTTCTAAGATACTCACTCCAAAGTAAACATACATACTAGGAAAACATCAAAAACGTTGCACCGTCATATAAGAGAATAGCTAAGCCTCATTACAAATGTTCGAAAAGGAAAGTGTGTAAAAAAAGGGAGGGGTGGGGAGCAGAGTTGATGGTGGAGGGAAGAGTTAGTAGGGGTGGGGGGCAGAGTTGATGGTGGAGGGAAGAGTTAGTAGGGGTGGGGGGGGGGCAGAGTTGGGGGAACAGAGTTGGAGGGGGGGGGTGGATAGTTGGGGGGGGGGGGAGGGGCGAGTGGCTTCAGCGTGTTAACAATAATATATGTGGGGCTGACGAAGACTGTGGCGAAACTAGCTCAAATATTCTATCGGTTTCTGTTGACAGCAATTGTTTTGTTCTCCGCCTCGCTGGATCGTGACACGCCAGTTGCCATCAACACTATTGTCCGCTACACCAATGTGATCACCAACTTCGGCAATGCCTATAACCCTATCACCGGAGTCTTCACCGCCCCCAGGGTAAGTCCCTACATTTCCGCGTCTCTTTATCTATCAAGTAATAATGTTACCATTCACAAGCTGAGTCTTTGTATTTTCTTGTGTGTTCACCCCCACGAAGGTGGGTCTACCCCGTATCTCATGTGTTCACGACTTCTTGTGTGTTTACCCCCATGAAGGTGAGTCTACCCAGTATCTCCTGTGTTCACATCTTCTTGTGTGTTTACCTCCATGAAGGTGAGTCTACCCCGTATCTTGTGTGTTCACGACTTCTTGTGTGTTTACCTTCATCATAGTTATTCTACCCCGTATCTCATGTGTTCACGACTTCTTGTGTTTTGACCTCCACAAAGGTAAGTCTACACCGTTTCTCACGTGTTCACGACTTCATGTGTGTTTACCTCCACAAAGGTGAGTCTACCCCGTATCTCATGTGTTCACATCTTCTTGTGTGTTTACCTCCATGAAGGTGAGTCTACCCCATATCTCACGTGTTCACATCTTCATGTGTGTTTACCTCCACAAAGGTGAGTCTACCCGTATCTCATGTGTTCACGACTTCATGTGTGTTTACCTCCATGAAGGTGAGTCTACTCCATATCTCATGTGTTCACATCTTCTTGTGTGTTTACCTCCACGAAGGTGATTCTACCCCGTATCTCATGTGTTCACGACTTCATATGTTTTGACCTCCACAAAGGTAAGTCTACACCGTTTCTCACGTGTTCACGACTTCATGTGTGTTTACCTCCACAAAGGTGAGTCTACCCCGTATCTCATGTGTTCACATCTTCTTGTGTGTTTACCTCCACGAAGGTGAGTCTACCCCATATCTCACGTGTTCACATCTTCATGTGTGTTTACATCCACAAAGGTGAGTCTACCCCGTATCTCATGTGTTCACGACTTCATGTGTGTTTACCTCCATGAAGGTGAGTCTACTCCATATCTCATGTGTTCACATCTTCTTGTGTGTTTACCTCCACGAAGGTGATTCTACCCCGTATCTCATGTGTTCACGACTTCATGTGTGTTTACCTCCAAGAAGGTGAGTCTACCCAATATCTCATGTGTTCACATCTTCTTGTGTGTTTACCTCCACGAAGGTGAGTATACCCCATATCTCATGTGTTCACATCTTCTTGTGTGTTTACCTCCACGAAGGTGAGTCTACCCCATATCTCATGTGTTCACGACTTCATGTGTGTTTACCTCCACGAAGGTGAGTCTACCCCGTATCTCATGTGTTCACGACTTCATGTGTGTTTACCTCCACAAAGGTGAGTCTACCCCGTATCTCATGTGTTTACGACTTCTTGTGTGTTTACCTCAACGAAGGTGAGTCTACCCCGTATCTGATGTGTTCACATCTTCTTGTGTGTTTACCTCCACAAAGGTGAGTCTACCCCGTATCTCATGTGTTCACATCTTCTTGTGTGTTTACCTCCACGAAGGTGAGTCTACTCCGTGTCTCAGAATTCAGGGATATCGGATAATCACAATGCAAAATACTATAGGCAAGCTGTTGGTAAAGATAATCGCCAGTAAAATTTCACACCAACTTGAGAGGTGAGCTTTTCTTCCAAATACTCTTGGAGGGTACCGTCCAAAGAAAGAAACATGGACCAATTCTGCGTTTTTTGCTCGTGATGTGTATGAAGGCTTCCACTCAGGTATTAAAACATGTGCTGCGGCAATTGATCTCGAGGATGCGTACAACAGAGTACCTTTGGATTTCCTAATATCTCAGCTTTTTGAACTCCAGATAAGTCCATTCCTGCTTCATTGAATCTCTTCCGTCCTCTTCCAACGACAAGTGTTCAGATGTGGCAGCTGGGCTTCTGAACCAACAATAATACATTCCGGCCTGCCACAAGGATCGCCATTATCTCCTGTGCTGATCAACGTTTACACAGTGAGAATCACAGGCAAGCAAATCACAGGACCCGGAAAAACACTGTCATATGCTGACGACATGTAAGTGTAAAAATCAAATATCAACATGCAGACAAACACGGGCGGTTGATAAATGACTGACTCTCAGCATTAAGCAGATGGAAAGGATGGAAAGGATACAGAACGAGGCTATGCGCATTATACTTGGGTGTACAAGAGATACAGCATGCAGGGCGATGCGCTACTTTCTTGATTTTCCAACCATAGAAGGTTAGTTGCGTATCCTTTACAGGACGTTGCAGAACCAACGACAACAGCCCTAGGCTGTTGTGTGGTTTTTCTAGACAAATTCACGTCCAGTAGTTTGCCATTTCTTTCTGGACAGTCGGCTTTCTTGATAGCACTGTCGATACCAACGCAAGGCGCATGGCCGCTGCTGGGATAGAACCCGGCCTCCCGGGATCGATTTAGCTACAGAGCCGACCAACCATAGAAAACAGAATACAAATTTCCCGAGCACGCGCCTCTCACAGCCAAGGCGGACACACAACATCCATTACATTGTCAAATCAAGAACGAACAAACGAACGAACGAACTTTTTTTTCAAAGGGTTACAAATTGGGCACGCAGGCCCTTCTGACATTCGGCCCTTCCAAGCACTCGTTTTTTAGAGTACCAAAGCCTGTTTTCTAATATGCATGTTATAGAATAAACATATGTATTATAGAATATAATACATACATCATGTGTACACAATCTTACACACTCACACACACACACACACACACACACATATATATATATATATATATATAAACAGAAAAGACACACACATACATTATTAGACATATATATGCACACACACATTCCATACATACATACATACCTACACATGCATGCATGCATACACACACATACAATCACATGTACAGACACCCACAACCACACATTTACACTCATATGTAAACATTCACACACACATACATGCACACATATACATACACACATCAATACATACAACTACATCTTTACACACATTCATGCATACTTGAATACATACCTAAATACACACACGTACACCCACATACTTATACATCTACAAATGCATACACACATCCACAAACCTGCATACATACACACACCCACATACATGCCGACACACATTACATACATACCCACACATGCATGCATACACACATATACAATCACCCAAACAGCCCATACACACATATACAACATACACATACCAACATACATACATACATACATACATACATACATACATACATACATACATACATACATACATACATACATACATACATACATACATACATACATACATACATACATATACATACATACATACATACATACATACATACATACATACATACATACATACATACATACATACATACATACATACATACATACATACATACATACATACATACATACATACATACATACATACATACATACATACATACATACATACATACATACATACATACATACACATACATACATACATACATACATACATACATACATACATACATACATACATACATACATACATACATACATACATACATACATACATACATACATACATACATACATACATACATACATACATACATACATACATACATACATACATACATACATACATACATACATACATACATACATACATACATACATACATACATACATACATACATACATACATACATACATACATACATACATACATACATACATACATACATACATACATACATACATACATACATACATACATACATACATACATACATACATACATACATACATACATACATACATACATACATACATACATACATACATACATACATACATACATACATACATACATACATACATACATACATACATACATACATACATACATACATACACATACATACATACATACATACATACATACATACATACATACATACATACATACATACATACATACATACATACATACATACATACATACATACATACATACATACATACATACATACATACATACATACATACATACATACATACATACATACATACATACATACATACATACATACATACATACATACATACATACATACATACATACATATACATACATACATACATACATACATACATACATACATACATACATACATACATACATACATACATACATACATACATACATACATACATACATACATACATACATACATACATACATACATACATACATACATACATACATACATACATACATACATACATACATACATACATACATACATACATACATACATACATACATACATACATACATACATACATACATACATACATACATACATACATACATACATACATACATACACTCATGCATACATACATACATACTTGCCTACATTATGTACACACATACCCACAATCACACATACACTTATATACAGTCCCACATACTTACAACATATATACATAAATACACACAAAAACAAACTTAAATATACATTCATATATCCACATGCATGCATACACACACACACACCCACAATCACACACAAACCCAGATAATACATACATAGATACACACATATAGATACTTTTATACATACATACACATACATAATACATAACCACATACTTACATACACACATACTTGCATACATTCATAAATACACACACACCCACATACATACACACTTACATATACCGACAAACATCCATATACATGTATGAATACACATACGCCCATAGACTTATACAGATACATTTACATAGAAACATTCTCATACATATACAGACATACATAATACATGAACATACATATATGCACACATACATACATCCACTTGTATACATACATACATGGACTACATGTACATGCATACACACATCCATACATACACTCAAATACTTAAACATACATACTTTCATACATAAACACATCCATACATACACTCACATACTTACACACATACATACTTTTATACTTACCTAAATACACACACATGCATGCATACATATACACACATACATGCATACATACACCTACATCTTTACACACATACATACATACCTAAATAGACACACATGCAGAGAGGGGCAGAGAGCGACACAGAAAGAAACATACAGACAAATGGATACAGAGACAGACAGACGGACAAACAGATAGAAACAGACAAATGACTGAGACTAGTTCTATTTGCTTTGTCAACAGACAGGCGGGTACGTGTTCCACATCCATGGCTTATCAGCGCCAGGAAAAGGATTCTGGATCTGTCTGTACCACAACGATCGCTGTACCTATAAGGCGCACGGCAGTGCAGCCGGTTCCTGGGAGACGGGAGGTAAGACTGCTACTGTAGTTTGTAACCATGACTGCAGAGAATGATGGGGACTGGTCCCTGTGAAACTTCTACAATAACTGATTCTCCAGCAAATTTTGTTTATGGTTCCTTTAAGGCCCCCCCCCCCTTCCCGACCCGACACCCCCTAAAATAAAATATCCCCTCTCCCTAAGCTCCCTGTCACTAAACGTCCCTAACCGATCTCTGGGTGGATATATGTGCCCGTCCGGATTTCGACTTGATGGGCCCAAGCTATATAAAGTCCCGAGGCCCCTATTGTTTGAAGTTACGCCAGCAAATCTCAGAAAAATTTACAATATATACATCGATTAAATTTATGGATGAGTGGACAGCTATAGTCGTTAGGCTTTTAGAAGAGATTGAATTCTCTCTATTTAAGTAACATTGGGTTTGACAACAAACTTTAATAATGTGTCAAGGTCCCTGCAGAATGTGAGGCCCTGAGCTGACCTTAGATGTGTAGACTGCTTTACAGTCTAGGTTGGTATGTGAAGGGCCCTCTCCACACACAGGGCTAAAGGGACGAACCATGTTAGTCTTATAATTGTGATAGACACACGGACCCAGTGGGACGAACCATGTTAGTCTTATAATTGTGATAGAAACATGAACCTAAAGATACGAACCATGTCAGTCTTATAATTGTGATAGACACACGAACCTAAAGGGACGAACCATGTTAGTCTTATAATTTTGATAGACACACGAACCTAAAGGGACGAACCATATTAGTCTTATAATTGTGATAGACACATGAACCTAAAGGGACGAACCATGTTAGTCCTATAATTGTGATAGACACACGAACCTAAAGGGACGAACCATGTTAGTCTTATAATTGTGATAGACACACGAACCTAAAGGGACGAACCATGTTAGTCTTATAATTGTGATAGACACACGAACCTAAAGGGACGAACCATGCTAGTCTTATAATTGTGATAGACACACGAACCTAAAGGGACGAACCATGCTAGTCTTATAATTGTGATAGACACACGAACCTAAAGGGACGAACCATGCTAGTCTTATAATTGTGATAGACACACGAACCTAAAGGGACGAACCATGCTAGTCTTATAATTGTGATAGACACACGAACCTAAAGGGACGAACCATGCTAGTCTTATAATTGTGATAGACACACGAACCTAAAGGGGACGAACCATGCTAGTCTTATAATTGTGATAGACACACGAACCTAAAGGGACGAACCATGCTAGTCTTATAATTGTGATAGACACACGAACCTAAAGGGACGAACCATGCTAGTCTTATAATTGTGATAGACATACGAACCTAAAGGGACGAACCATGCTAGTCTTATAATTGTTATAATTGTGATAGACACACGAACCTAGAGGGACGAACCATGCTAGTCTTATAATTGTGATAGACACACGAACCTAAAGGGACGAACCATGCTAGTCTTATAATTGTGATAGACACACGAACCTAAAGGGACGAACCATGTTAGTCTTATAATTGTGATAGACACACGAACCTAAAGGGACGAACCATGTTAGTCTTATAATTGTGATAGACACACGAACCTAAAGGGACGAACCATGTTAGTCTTATAATTGTGATAGACACACGAACCTAAAGGGACGAACCATGCTAGTCTTATAATTGTGATAGACACACGAACCTAAAGGGACGAACCATGCTAGTCTTATAATTGTGATAGACACACGAACCTAAAGGGACGAACCATGCTAGTCTTATAATTGTGATAGACACACGAACCTAAAGGGACGAACCATGCTAGTCTTATAATTGTGATAGACATACGAACCTAAAGGGACGAACCATGCTAGTCTTATAATTGTTATAATTGTGATAGACACACGAACCTAGAGGGACGAACCATGCTAGTCTTATAATTGTGATAGACACACGAACCTAAAGGGACGAACCACCATGCTAGTCTTATAATTGTGATAGACACACGAACCTAAAGGGACGAACCATGTTAGTCTTATAATTGTGATAGACACACGAACCTAAAGGGACGAACCATGTTAGTCTTATAATTGTGATAGACACACGAACCTAAAGGGACGAACCATGTTAGTCTTATAATTGTGATAGACACACGAACCTAAAGGGACGAACCATGCTAGTCTTATAATTGTGATAGACACACGAACCTAAAGGGACGAACCATGCTAGTCTTATAATTGTGATAGACACACGAACCTAAAGGGACGAACCATGCTAGTCTTATAATTGTGATAGACACACGAACCTAAAGGGACGAACCATGCTAGTCTTATAATTGTGATAGACACACGAACCTAAAGGGACGAACCATGCTAGTCTTATAATTGTGATAGACACACGAACCTAAGGGGACGAACCATGCTAGTCTTATAATTGTGATAGACACACGAACCTAAAGGGACGAACCATGCTAGTCTTATAATTGTGATAGACACACGAACCTAAAGGTACGAACCATGCTAGTCTTATAATTGTGATAGACACACGAACCTAAGAGGACGAACCATGTTAGTCTTATAATTGTGATAGACACACGAACCTAAAGGGACGAACAATGCTAGTCTTATAATTGTGATAGACACACGAACCTAAAGGGACGAACCATGCTAGTCTTATAATTGTGATAGACACACGAACCTAAAGGGACGAACCATGCTAGTCTTATAATTGTGATAGACACACGAACCTAAGAGGACGAACCATGTTAGTCTTATAATTGTGATAGACACACGAACCTAAAGGGACGAACAATGCTAGTCTTATAATTGTGATAGACACACGAACCTAAAGGGACGAACCATGCTAGTCTTATAATTGTGATAGACACACGAACCTAAAGGGACGAACCATGCTAGTCTTATAATTGTGATAGACACACGAACCTAAGAGGACGAACCATGTTAGTCTTATAATTGTGATAGACACACGAACCTAAAGGGACGAACAATGCTAGTCTTATAATTGTGATAGACACACGAACCTAAAGGGACGAACAATGCTAGTCTTATAATTGTGATAGACACACAAACCTAAAGGGACGAACAATGTTAGTCTTATAATTGTGATAGACACACGAACCTAAAGGGACGAACCATGCTAGTCTTATAATTGTGATAGACACACGAACCTAAGAGGACGAACCATGTTAGTCTTATAATTGTGATAGACACACGAACCTAAAGGGACGAACAATGCTAGTCTTATAATTGTGATAGACACACGAACCTAAAGGGACGAACAATGCTAGTCTTATAATTGTGATAGACACACGAACCTAAAGGGACGAACAATGTTAGTCTTATAATTGTGATAGACACACGAACCTAAAGGGACGAACCATGCTAGTCTTATAATTGTGATAGACACACGAACCTAAGAGGACGAACCATGTTAGTCTTATAATTGTGATAGACACACGAACCTAAAGGGACGAACCATGCTAGTCTTATAATTGTGATAGACACACGAACCTAAGAGGACGAACCATGTTAGTCTTATAATTGTGATAGACACACGAACCTAAAGGGACGAACCATGCTAGTCTTATAATTGTGATAGACACACGAACCTAAGAGGACGAACCATGTTAGTCTTATAATTGTGATAGACACACGAACCTAAAGGGACGAACAATGCTAGTCTTATAATTGTGATAGACACACGTACCTAAAGGGACGAACCATGCTAGTCTTATAATTGTGATAGACACACGAACCTAAAGGGACGAACCATGCTAGTCTTATAATTGTGATAGACACACGAACCTAAGAGGACGAACCATGTTAGTCTTATAATTGTGATAGACACACGAACCTAAAGGGACGAACAATGCTAGTCTTATAATTGTGATAGACACACGAACCTAAAGGGACGAACAATGCTAGTCTTATAATTGTGATAGACACACGAACCTAAAGGGACGAACAATGTTAGTCTTATAATTGTGATAGACACACGAACCTAAAGGGACGAACAATGCTAGTCTTATAATTGTGATAGACACACGAACCTAAGAGGACGAACCATGTTAGTCTTATAATTGTGATAGACACACGAACCTAAAGGGACGAACCATCTTAGTCTTATAATTGTTTATTATTATTATCATCGAACACCGGCTGTGAATTCCAGTGGAAGGTCCCTGTTAATCGTCCGCTTGGACTTTTGGCTTTCACCTGGACCTGATTTTTGCGTGTACAACCGTTTTTCATTTCCCTGCCTCTTGGGCAGCTGTACGCCGACTTCGAAGGAAGACGTCAGGCCTATTTCTAGGGTGACTGTGGCCATTGTTTTGTGTGGGTCGAGACGTTGCCCAATTTGTGTGGTGTCCATTTTGTCTCCCTCGCCGCAGGTATTGCCCCCAGAGTACTCCTTTGGGGCAGCCCCCTGTGGAACAGTTGGCCCTCAAGGGAGGGCAGGGGCAGATCATGGGCATTCCCCGCCATCCAAGGAGGCTTCCATGCATGCAGAGCCGGCACATATTGCTCTGATTCTGGGCTCACCCAAGGAATCGTCACGTCCTGCACATGCCTGCCCAACCTCACAACCGCATCGGGCCTCCCACTCGACAGGGGCTGCGCCCTCTGGAAGTCAGCGGGGAGCAGCACGTGGGTTTTGGACTTTTGTGACCACACAGATAGGTACATTAGCCTGACAGAATTTCACATCCTGGATCAGGCGCATCGTTATCAGTTTTGTCCCAACACTCGGGCGAGTGGGGTCTTTGGGTGTGGATATTCGGTCTTTTTCAGTTCAGTGCAAATTTTGATGGTCAGATTTTGATCCGTATGATCTAGTTTTGTCGGACATTCAGGCTTAGCCATCTGATGGATGGTTGCTGTTGTGGTGTACCCCAGCTCGGTGACGACGACACTGAGGGTTAACTGAGGATGTACGTGAATGGCCAGCCTATGGATGGTTGTTGTTGTGGTGCACCTCAGCGCGGTGACGACGACACTGAGGGCCAACCGAGGATGTACAAGGATGGCCAGCCTATGGATGGTTGCTGTTGTGGTTGTACCTCAGCGCGGTGACGACGACACTGAGAATTAACAGAGGATGTGCAGTGAGCAATGATCTCTCCACTCAACAGTCCTTCAACCAAGGGTTGTAATTCTAGCTGTATGTTTGTCAACCCTACTCATGTTCCTAATGAGTTTTGATAACATTTTTCACCCAAGCGCTTGGGGGCGGGCTGATGAGAGCCACAAGGACACATCACCTCTGGGGGCCGCCAAACTCCGAGATCCCCTGACAGCTCTGCCAATGCTCATTTGAGACACTATCCGTGGCGCACGACGAGGACGTGCTGTAGGGGTCTTGCGTGAGGTTCCGTACAACCAGGATAGTGAAGGACTGGCGCCCGAGTGACGTACGGAGTATCTCCTTATACACATCATGTTGGACTTAACTTCCCCTCACGCCTGTGACATAAATCACTGCGCCACTCTTATAATTGTGATAGACGCACGGACCCAGTGGTTAATGGGCTCAACAACACGTCAACAGTCTCAGAGTTTGCCCATTGGTGACTGGGTGGGTCTGGGAAGGAAAGAAGGTTAGTTAAACAATGAAATCCATTCCTTGGAGATTGGAAACCCCAAAGTGAAGGTTTGCCTGCCAGCGATCGTCCAGCCACTACACCACTGCGGCTATCGACCTAACATATGACCAGAAGAAGTAAAAAGTGTACAATGTAATTCTTGTACTATTATACATTTCGCATCTTGTAAGATCAGTCAGATGCGCCTTCCCAGAACGAAGTATATTATATAGTCTTAGCGCATCTCGTGTGTTTAGCAAGACTGCCAGTGATCGATCAAAAAATTCACAACAGTTAAAGGGCGGATTATAATTAAAAAAAATGTCAATTTAATGACGACACTGATTTCCATTATACAATAACGACGAACACATCAAGTTATTGTTGCGGAACATTTATATACAATATATGACGATAAATAAGTTACGATGATTCATATACTTTAATATAAGTGGTTATAACGTTCGTTGCGTACTTTAAAAAGTTACTCACTGTTATATACTGTTTCTAAAGTCTCTTCTAAACGTACTCTAGAAATATCCGTCCTCTAACCAACCTTGACTCTCGGTCCTCTAGTAAACTGCTGTGGTTGCAACCTAGTGTGCTTCTTGACTTCGAGAGTTCGGCTGAACGCACCTGGCCCATTTGCTCCTCCCCCTCCCTGTCTGCACGAACAGCTCTGAAAATATTTGACCTGTCCTACATCTAGCCCTGTCTGCACGAACAGCTCTGAGAATATTTGACCTGTCCTACATCTAGCCCTGTCTGCACGAACAGCTCTGAGAATATTTGACCTGTCCTACATCTAGCCCTGTCTGCACGAACAGCTCTGAGAATATTTGACCTGTCCTACATCTAACCCTGTCTGCACGAACAGCTCTGAGAATATTTGACCTGTCCTACATCTAGCCCTGTCTGCACGAACAGCTCTGAGAATATTTGACCTGTCCTACATCTAGCCCTGTCTGCACGAACAGCTCTGAGAATATTTGACCTGTCCTACATCTAGCCCTGTCTGCACGAACAGCTCTGAGAATATTTGACCTGTCCTACATCTAGCCCTGTCTGCACGAACAGCTCTGAGAATATTTGACCTGTCCTACATCTAGCCCTGTCTGCACGAACAGCTCTGAGAATATTTGACCTATCCTACATCTAGCCCTGTCTGCACGAACAGCTCTGAGAATATTTGACCTGTCCTACATCTAGCCCTGTCTGCACGAACAGCTCTGAGAATATTTGACCTGTCCTACATCTAGCCCTGTCTGCACGAACAGCTCTGAGAATATTTGACCTGTCCTACATCTAGCCCTGTCTGCACGAACAGCTCTGAGAATATTTGACCTGTCCTACATCTAGCCCTGTCTGCACGAACAGCTCTGAGAATATTTGACCTGTCCTACATCTAGCCCTGTCTGCACGAACAGCTCTGAGAATATTTGACCTGTCCTACATCTAGCCCTGTCTGCACGAACAGCTCTGAGAATATTTGACCTGTCCTACATCTAGCTCTGTCTGCACGAACAGCTCTGAGAATATTTGACCTGTCCTACATCTAGCCCTGTCTGCACGAACAGCTCTGAGAATATTTGACCTGTCCTACATCTAGCCCTGTCTGCACGAACAGCTCTGAGAATATTTGACCTGTCCTACATCTAGCCCTGTCTGCACGAACAGCTCTGAGAATATTTGACCTGTCCTACATCTAGCCCTGTCTGCACGAACAGCTCTGAGAATATTTGACCTGTCCTACATCTAGCCCTGTCTGCACGAACAGCTCTGAGATATTTGACCTGTCCTACATCTAGCCCTGTCTGCACGAACAGCTCCAAGAATATTTGACCTACACCCAGCCCTGTCTGCACGAACAGCTCGAAGAATATTTGACCTATCCTTCATCCAAATATGAAAGTCGCCCTGGCGTAGCGGCTAGAGTCTCGCCTGCTGACCCGAAGGTCGTGAGGTAAAATCCGCATCGAACTGACTATTGCTCATAAATGATCTCGACTGCCAGGCTGTTGCAGCCTTAAATGGGTACAAGATGAAGTCCGGGGAAGTAAAGGCGGATCAAAATGGGTCAATGATGACAGCGGCTTGACACTGTGTAGGTACTGAGTTGACACTAGTAAACACATTATACGTCGCTGAGTGAAAGATGATAACATTGATAATAATGACCAACAAATATTTCCCATATTGACAATAATGTTAATTGTCTGCAGGCAACACTGTAGGTCTGCGAGTCAAGTCTGGGGAGAAGGTCTATGTGAAAAGTACCTATCAATCAACTTTCTTATACAGCGACGGCGAAAACCTGTACGGAACCTTCACTGGCTACTCAGTTGGTTCGTAAACCGGCCAGCATTGGACTGGTTTGTGAACTCACCAGGATAGATTCGTTAGTGAAGAAGACAGCATTGGACTGGTTTGTGAACTCACCAGGATTGATTCGTTAGTGAAGCAGACATATATAAATTAGTTACTAAACATATTATAAAATAGGCAAGTTAGCTAACATTTGCAAACAATACTAGTCAGTGACCCTGTAGGGACGGGGGTAGATAGTTGTTATATGGAGAATATGTTATGTTATCTTCTTCTTCTTCTTCTTCTTCTTCTTCCTTCTTCTTCTTCTTCTTCTTCCTTCTTCTACTTCTTCTTCTTCTTCTTCTTCTTCTTCTTCTTCTTCTTCTTCTTCTTCATCATCATCTTCTTTTTCTTCTTCGCGTTCACCAGCTGAAAACTGGCGGAGAGTTCTCGTTGTTCATCCAGTTATGGACTACAGTCATGTTCCGGAACATAAGTGTTGCGGGTGCATCCGTTTTACAGATTTGACTTATGCGTATGCAGACTGCTGGTTACTTGCCTCTCAGGCAGATGAAATTCGACTTCATAGGAAGCACCCAATTAGTCGACTCTTACGACATGCTCTTGGCTCGGCAGTGGGTCTATTCTTGTTTTTCCCACAATAGGGCCCCGGAACCCGCACAGGGATACATTATATCAACCGGTGGAGAATAGACTAGTCAGGCAATAGGCCATAATTACTACAATAAATAAATACGTAAATATGTTTACACCTGAATATCCGACCAGACAGCCTCACTGGCAAAACATGTATCCACAAATAAACTGACTTCCAATATAAATGGATTGTGTGGCGTTGTGTGTGTTCTTGATGTATACATGTTAATTTTAATCATTGCGAAATTCACAGTCACCACAGTGAATTTTCAGCCATTTTAATGTAAAGGCATTCTAGCCGAAACGTTCAATGGTGGTGATCTTGATACTGTCAAGCTGACTAACCCTGATTCTGGTTTCGAGTGCTGCCTTATCATTGTTTGTAACTGACTATAACACGGGCACCCTTTGAGTGTTACATGTAGCCTAACTGCAGACAGTTGCTGGCACCTCAGTCAGCCTTGTGTGTAACATGAAGCCCCAAACGCCAGACAGTTGCTGGCACCTCAGTCAGCCTTGTGTGTAACATGGAGCCCCAAACGACAGACAGTTGCTGGCACCTCAGTCAGCCTTGTGTGTAACATGGAGCCCCAAACGCCAGACAGTTGCTGGCACCTCAGTCAGCCCCTGGCTGTTATGTGGTTTTTCTAGGCAAATTTACGTCCTGTAGTTTGCCATTGCTTTCTGGACAGTCGGCTTTCTTGATACCACTGTCGATACCAGCTGGGATCGAACCCGGCATCTCGGCATTTCGAAGCGTTCGCAACGATCTAGCCACAGAGCCGACGAAACCAACAGGTATATTTAAAAAAAAAGAACGAGGGGCGCCACAGTGAAGTACAGGTGTTCTTTTTGTCTTTTAATTACTGACTATAAACTGGATTTGTATAAACAGAAAACAGTTATCATACATGGAATTAATTAGACCTCAACAAAACTGCTTGTTGATGTTGGCTGATGCGATCCACTTTCAGTCCCACTGAGGAGGTCAGTTGCAAGATAAGTTAACATATATGATAAAGGACCACAGGGTAAGTTAACATATTCGAAGACTGACTACAAGAAAAGCTAACATATTCGATGAATGACCACAAGATAAGTTAACATGTTCGATGAGGGACCACAAGTCAAGTTAACATATTCGATGAGGGACCACATGATGGGTTAACATATTCGATGAGTGACCACTAGATAAGCTAACACATTCAATGAGTGACCACAAGAAAAGCTAACATATTCGATAAGTGACCACATGATAAGTTGACATATTCGATGAGAGACCACAAGATAAGCTAAAATATTCGATGAGTGACCACCAGATGAGTTAAAATATTCGATGAGTGACTACAGGATGAGTTAACATATTGTATGAGTGACGACAAGATAACATATTCGATGAGGGACCACAAGATAAGTTAACATATTCGATGAGTGACGACAAGATAAGTTAACATATTCCATGAGTGAAGACAAGGAAAGTTAACATATTCCATGAGGGACCACGACAAATTAGGTCTCAAATCTAAAAGGGAAATAAGATAATGAAAAAGGAAAATCAGGCAAACCGTGATCTTCGTTGGTGAAACCACGCCTCACCATGTGGTTATTTTATTCGAACTCACAGTCACAAGTCGGCCAAAGGTCAAAGTGTGTGAAAGGTCACAATAATGTTTAAGATATGATTGGCTGGGGACAGCGTAAAAACTTGGGTCACGTGCGGTTTCTGGGAATATGTTCTGCTCGACAAATCACGATAGAACGCTGAATTGATTTGATTCTAGAACCGACATCACAGCACTCGGGGCATTCCCATAAGCGCTCCGTAGCCATCTTCAGGAGCCAGCGCAGAGTTTCAATACTAATGGTGCCAGTAGCATTCTGATTAAACGTCTGTCTTCTCTTTCCTCCAAGCCTCAAGCATTGGTCAGAACTCCACGTCACTCCGCACCGCATCAATCTCACCAGACTGTGGTGATCCATCTGCTCCTCCAAACTGAACACGCTCACCAACAAGGGCCTAACCACGTCTGCCTTATGCATCAATGTTCCACCAAATTGAGCAGAGCCAGTCAGTATGTCCACCTGTTCATTTCCCAACACACCGGCGTGTCCCGGATAAAAAAAAATCCAGATAAAACACTCGTTATTCTTGTCTTTCGCAGTGCAGCATGTCCCTCTGCACAAAATATGTCTGACCTGACCTTCCTCAGCATGTTTTCTATCAGTTACAATCATGGTGTGTGTGTGTGTGTGTGTGTGTGTGTGTGTGTGTGTGTGGTGTATGTGTCGTGTTCTCTGGCCAGCGTAAAGCTGCAGTGACCGCCTCCACCTCCATGCTCAAGCTTGATGCTGTGGTATCATATGCTAGGCTCTGCTGCACCAAACGTCGACCAATAACATTTGCTAAGAAACCCCAAGCACTGTTTTCCCCTCTTGACACTGAATCGTCTGGAGAGAACGTTAAGGGAGGGGGACATGGGTTACACTGTGGCACAGTCGTGCCTATACATCCCCCAAGCAATAGATGTGCCTAGTTCGGCCAAGTGGAATGAATATAGTTCGTATCTCTCTTCAATCGTACTCAAGAACAAGGCCAGTGATGTAATCAATTACATAAGAGCTGGTTTATTCATAATATTCTCGTCACACACATTTCATAAATGTAATAAGCAATAGTATATGAACACTTCTTATTACTGTTACCAAAATTATGCCTCTACGAGTTCCTTAACCACTGTTCTGGCTAAACTCCAAGTTTAACGTATACCTTCTAATCCAAGTAAAGCACTAGTTTCCTCCTAACCGGTTTCTCTAGCGATCCAGCCCTAACTGTCCTCTCAAGCGGTTCCGGGGCTAACTCACTATTGTAGTTAAACTCCAAGTTTAACATATCCTTCTAAACTTAGTAAAGCACTAGTTTTCTCCTAACCGGTTTCTCTAGCGGTCTAGCCCTAACTGTCTTCTCATGGCGGTTCCGGGGCTAACTGTCCTCTCCAGCGGTTCCGGGACTAACTCACTTCTCAAGCCCCTGGCTCTGACTTTATTCCACCGCTTTCCCGCTCCTCCTGGCGTACCATCTCAATCACTCCCCTGTCACCTGTCCTTGGTGGTCACGTTTGCATGAACGTATCTTGTCAGCTGGTCACAGCTCACGGGTACTCGTCAAATGTTTCATCCCTCACTGTCAGATGTCATGGCGGTGTGTTCTGCATAGCTGGCTAGGCCATGGCTTTCTAATCACCCATTCTGTCATTTCACACAGTGATGGATTAGTACGCCGTGTGGTGGTCTGAAATGTATGCTTGTTCATTTTACCCCTTTCTGCCTATATTTCATTACATTCGCCCTACACACTTTTTAACAAAATTGTTTCCTATCTTCAATTTTATGAAAACTACTCTAATTATACCCGCTACCTAACTAAACCTTATGTGAACATCTAGCCACGTAATGAAAGCATACAACATAACATGTAACATCATAAAATTCATGCAGTATTATGAAAACGTGACATGCATACAATAACTAATAGTCAATAATTCTAAAGACATAAAAAAAAAAAAAAGAATGCAACTCCCTCGTTGTATTAGCATAACAACCTATTATTCACTGGTATCCCTAATGCATGTGCGGAGTTGTCTGAAGTATAAAGGAATAGTATCTGTATTCCAACTTTATAAACTCAAGCCTGAAAACTTTGTAGACAAGAAGTAACATGCCATGTATCCCCAGTTATCAATAAAGTAAAACTCGAAAATGTCATCTCCCCAAGATATAATGAAAATAGAATCTCTGAGAAAGTCAACATAGACTGAATAATAAGGTATAACCTTTACAGAGTATAAATAATTCTTATACCGTTAGGTATATTAATTGGAGAGAAATTTCTCGGAAACAATAGTAGCATTTCCTCAAGTCGAATGTACAATGCCACCACCTGTATTTACAGGCATTTAAACGCTGTGATAGTCCACAGCGTTTATTGTTGCTTCCCTAAGAGGTTGCTTCCTCTGTTTAATGCATATCTTATCTTCTGTAAAGAAATAGCCGGCCTATATTCAGTTACCAATCATGTCATGCTTTGGACTAGCTTATCGCCAAGTACGTTTCTAACTGTGTACCTCAGTAAAGTCTGGTTAAACTCAAATCAGTCGTCATTCTGACAGAATGTATAAGAGAGGTTTTGTGGCCAGTAACTCTCTTAGCGAACATAAAACATGTAGGTATTGTAATCTTCACCCACAACCGAACGTGTGGATTTTCACTTGTCCGGGAGAGTACCACCCAAAAAAAAAAAAAAAACGTTCATAGTGCAAAACCGCATGTAAATATTAAATGGTAGGGACAAAACAACAGGTATATATTTAATATTGTCGGACAAATGACATG